ACTCATAGTTGTGCCCCCGCTTTGTCACCCTGTCAAATGAGCCCCCTATTAAAACTACAATTATCCATTCCAACACACATTGGGGGGAATTATCAAAAATGGAGCAGACACAATCTGGAGCAGATTTCCACTGCAGCCAATCAGCTTCTCTGTCTCATTTTCAAATCTTACCTGAGCAAACTGAAGAGAGATGCTGATTGGTTGCAATAGGCAACTGCTCCAGATTCGGTCTGTTCCAGTTTTGATAAATTCCTCCCATTGTGTAGACATAGGGGTCTATTCACGAAGCTGCCGAAGGATCTGGCCGTAGCTTCGGCCGATCCTTCGGCTAGCTTCGGCCCCAGGACCCCTTCGGTTCAGGAGAACCGAGGGGGTGCTGTACGGGCTATTCACAATAGCCCGTACAGCTCCCGATCAACCTACTCTGACATGCTCGTGTCAGAATAAAGAAAAAAAAAGATACAGCGGGGTTTCTCTTCTTGGCGGCCGGGAGCGGGGGGCTCCCAGAGCGCCCGGGAGATTTGTAAAAAATTTTTTACACATTTTTTTTTACAGCAGCAGAGCCGCCGGACAATAGGAAACTATTGGGGCGGAGCTAGCTGTCACTGCTAGCTCTGCACAATCGTTAGTTGTTGCTAGTAAACTGGTCATAATGTGAATAGCAGCTCCACAGAAAATTAACAAAATCAAGCGCTTCTACAGTGTCTAGGGCTAATATTGCTCATCTCCTGGGTTATCATGAGTGATTTGAGGGTGAATTCGCTGTTTAATCTTTTTGAAGATCAGATTCCTCACAGAAATCTAGTTTGATGTGGATGAATGAGTGAAATAATTACTTACTGTAATTTCTAGATTATTTTGGCCGGGATTTTTTTTTATAATTAAAGTTTAAAAATGATAGAAGGCGATAAGCATCGCAATATATTTGGTCTCTACTTAAAATCAAAACAATGATTACTGTAGCTTCATAAAGAAGTGATGGTAAAATCTCACACCGCAAAGAACTTTGTTGAACTTTTTTTCGAGAAGTGAGAATACAACATCAATAAAATGTTTATATATTTTGGCTTAGATTCCATCTGGTCACGCGGATTTATTAATCGTTAACAATTTAATAGCAGCCTGGATCTTTAATTTGGTTGTGTCACAATGTAGGTACTCAACTTGGTCCTCTGCCGATCTAGAGAAGACAATATCTGACAAATAAGATAGTACATCATCTATAGAGTAATTTGACTTTTAGGAGTATAAATTGGTGTTATATTCTCAAAAGCTTCTCACTTTATCTGAACTTCTTCGGTTTAATGCCCATCAGCTGCCTTTATAGACTTATCTTGCCCAGCCTTGGGCTTTTTTTAGTGACTTGTGCTAGGATAGGTGCTGACTGTTTTCCCAGCTCAAATATCTGTGAGGAAGATTTGTTTCTTTTTAGTTTTCTTTAATAGATGTGAGTTGTATTCTCTCTGGATCATTTAAGAAATGTTTTATGAATTTCGGTTGGGTTATTTTTACAGTTTACTTCTGCCAGTTCTTCAACTGGCCTCTCTTGGGTTGTTATATATTGCCATATATTATATTTTTTAATGCAGGCATGTTCTTATGAATGATTTGATAGTGTCCCATGGGATGCTAATAAACATATCAATAGACTCAGAACTCATATACATATTAAGGTGGTCTATCAGAGTTGGGGAATTGGGAACTCCTTAATGGATTGTCTTAAATGTTCATCAAATTTAGATTAAATCCCAGGTTCAGTCAAAAAAAGTGTGGGTAGTGTTTTAGTTTTTTGCTGTCTGTCCGTAGAAAGCACCATACAGGAAATGAGGAGCTTAATGGGCAAAGGGACAGGAAACCAGTGACAGCAATAAGAACACTATCTGAAGTTCTAACCCTTCCTCTCCCTATTGAATAGATTTCCCATAATTTCCTTTATGAAAGAAAGTGAGGGGAAATCTTCCCAAAGAGTGCACAGATAGCTATTAAAACTTGACAGATGCTCTAACTAAAACAAAAACGGCTAGAGTAAGGCTTTAAGTGGCACAAATAAGTGCAGTTTAATATACCACAAGGAAAATGACTGATTTCTGAGACTGATGATCACGCCGCCATCAGGGGGGTACGGCTGATACTCATGTAAGGGGCCCGGGCAGTCTCCGGGGCCCACCCGGACCCATACATGAGTATCGGCCGATGGTGAAGGGCGAGGAGGCGGCCTGGCCCCCGCAGCGGTGGAGGCCTGGCCCTAGCAGCGCAGGGCCCCAGCATTGCCGCTCCAGCGGCTTCAAGACAAGCTGGGGCCCCATCAACAATGCTGCTCATCTGAGGGCGAAAGTGACGCCACGTTGGTGACGTGACGTCACTTCCTGTCAGTCCAGCAGGTCGGGTGTGCAGGTCAGTGGCGGATCCGAGAGGGGGGAGCCACTGCCATCCTGAAACTGACAGGACGATAGCAGCTCCGCTGTCCTCCTATCAGTTTCAGGATGACAGCGGCTGTGTGTGTGGCCGAGCGGGGGATCAGTAAGTATCATTGTCTGATCACTCCAGTGTTTGTAAATAACTGAGGACACATAGTACTATGTGTCCCCAGTTATGAATGAACAGGAGGTGATTTATATCACCTCCTGTTCATTCATGAGTTTCTCAATGGAGAGAAGCACTCAGTACAGAGGCTTTTTTCCCATTGAGAATCTGCTTGATAGTAAATATCTTACTATCAGCAGTTTGTGAACGAATGGGAAGCCTCTATACTGAGTGCTTCCCATTCATTGAGTGCTGAGGCTGCAGAAAAAGACATTGAGGACTCTGTGTCCTCAATGTCTTTTTCTATTTCAAAAGGGAAATGCCAGGGGTCTGTTTAGACCCCTAATATTTCCCCGAAGCCCCCCCTACAGTAAATGTAATAATAAATAATAATTAAAAAATAAATTAAAAATGTGTAAATTTTTTAAAAAAGCACCCCCGCCCACACACTTGCACCATGCGCTGCAGTGCGTTGTTAGAACGCATTGCAGTGCATGATTTTTTCTATCGTAAAAAAACATTAATTTAACTGTGGCAGCGCATGGCAAAGCTTTGTGACGCATTGCCGTGCGTTGTAATACCTTGTGTTGTAATTAAATATACGCCTGTATCATTTTTCCTTCAATCCCTATCAATTATTGTATCTACATTTGAACCAATAATGTGTTTACTAACAAGAATTGTTTACTAAACCAAATTTCTGACTGAGTGGGTCTCTCAAAAAAAAACAACATTTTAGATACTGTATGAGGAGGTCCCAATAATAATTTTGCTGCAGGGCCATGTGATCTTCAGTTATGCCTCACCTTTGAAAACATTGGTTTATTTGCATATAACATTATAGTTATATATTGTATATATATAGGGCCTTATTTATCACTGATGCTGCCCCAGACACATGTGCATACTCCACCCAGTTCCCACCAACTATTTATGTATGTGAACATTAAACAAATAAAGCATTTTGTGAACAGGATACTTTGTTTACAGAGCTTACAGTGTTTACAATTTTAAAATGATTGGGTAATATATGATAATATTAAGTACTGAATATTATGGGAGACTTGTGACTTCTCTATGAAGCTCCCCACAAACTCTTCTACCCTAATTTTGTTGCTGGATTTACCCCCAAGTTTTCAGAGATGACCAAAAATATAATTAGAAACAAATGTGACATTTTGACATAGGGGATTTGGTATATCTATCTATCTATCTATATATATTGTCTCCAGTGTTTTAAGCATAATAAAGAATATTCCCTGGCAATCATAATAATGATTTTTCTTTATCTAACTGTTTCTTTTTTTCAGAATCTTTAAAGAGACCTTTTCAGGTGCCTAAAAGAGAAGACAGCATACTTGCACCTCTGTGGTGGCCCTTTTCTGCTACCTCTTCTCAATTTGTGTGCTTCAAGCTCAGAAAGCCTCTTTGGTAATCAACACTTCAAGGGGTGTTGGATACTTGTGTCCTCCACAGCCTGCAGGTTCCTTCATTGAACCTCTTAGTTCACTGGTGAGAAAGAGGCGCTACAGTCTTAGAAAGGAGGTAGGAGAAATGTCTCACTGGAGAGGTGAGTATACATTGTCTTCTGTGGTAGGGTCCTGCCAGTTAATCGCATATAGAGAGCTGAAAAGATCTCTTTAAAGATGAACTCTATGCAAATGACAAATTAAGCCTTACAGTGGGGCTACAACCCCCCACACACACACACACACTACAAGGGTTAAGTGCTGATTTTAGTCTAGGGTCTAAAATAAAAAAAGCATACACTCACCTGAGTCCAATCCTGTGGCGGTGACCGCTCACCTCTCTTCTCCTCCACTCTAGCTGTGGAATGTCACTCAGTGTCCTCAAGTCCAATGCAAGTTAATGGACTTATAGTAAACGCGAGGACACCTAAACTGCCAGAGCCCAGGGGAGAAAAAGTCTAACAGCTAGGTGGGATCAAGGATTGGGTGAGGATATCTTCTTTATTTTAGACCCTGGACTAAAACAAACAGTAAACTCTTACAGTGTGTGGGTAGCCCCACTACAAGGGTTATTTGTAATGTGTGTAAAGAGTTCTTCTTTAAAGCTACACTCTTGGCTTATTTTTTAAAAAAACTTATGCATTTATGTACTCAGTAAAAAATTACATGTATTTTTAATGCATCAAGTGTAAGTTCCAGCAGCTATCTTGGGATCAGCCTCCTGTAACTCCCTGTATGGTAAAACTCCATCTGGAAGATGGAGGGCCAACATTAGTAGCAAATCAGGCTCTGCAGCTGTGCACATGTGCTGACCTAACTACAATGGAGATTCTACGCCTGTCTATGCAGACGGTGCTATACACCTACTATAGAGGTATCAACTGTAAAAATAGCTATTTACATTACGATTAGATTTAAAATCTATTTTTGTATATTGGTGGGGGATCCATTTTTGTATAACACCTTCTGTTGTAATACTTTTTTGATTGCATTCATTTTATAGGTAAAGAAGTGAGAAACAATAATGACCGGCAAAACACAGACTAGCAACGTCACCAACAAGAATGATCCAAGGTCAATAAATTCACGGGTTTTTATTGGCAATCTGAACACTGGTATTGTTAAAAAGAGTGACATTGAAGGTATATTTGCCAAATATGGGAAAATAGTTGGATGCTCGGTGCACAAAGGATATGCTTTTGTACAATACGTCAGTGAAAGGCACGCAAGAGCTGCAGTGGCTGGAGAAAATGCCCGGATTATAGGAGGTCAACCATTAGGTAAGCACGATTTTAACTGATACCAACATGTTTGATATTTGTTTGTGTGTATTTTTCTTTTTTATTCCTAGATACAAAATGTTTTCAATAGATCATAGAGGTATGGACCAGAACTGTGTTTCTCATTTTGTTTTTCAATTAAACCTATTTACACATAATGCATGCTAACTAGGTATTGTCCTGGTGTCCTGGGATGTCTCACTGTCTCCAGTGAGACATCCCAGGAGGCTGTTCTCTAATGCTGGTGTCTGCAACTTAACACTGATTGTGTAACTTTTCTCAAATTTTAATTACCAAGTCACACTTATGCATTACAGTACTCTGTGCTCTACCACAATGCACAGTAAGACACACCACTTTGTGCATGGTGCCTTTCATTTACAATGGCACTGAAACGCACGACACCAGTACCAGACAATGCACCCATGCTGTGCAAAACAACGTGAATTGTGTTTAAAGAGGGTCAAGTCCTTTTTTTCATGTGTTAAGGTGCACTGGCAGCTTATACAAAATAAATGAACTGCTTTACGTAAGGTATTCAGTTTAATATTTTTTTCGTTCAACCTGCAGACTGAACAAAAAAAATATTTCTGATTCGTCGCAACAGCGTGGATGGACGAATCTCCTGCTGTGAGCATCGTATTCTGACCGTGACTGGCGGCCACTATCAGAATAACTGAACTGTGCAGCTGATTAGCAATCACCCTTCAGGTGAAGATTTTTCAACCCTCTTTTTTAATCTGCTAATCGAAGGATGCTGCTTTAATGTAACGCATAGTGTGAAAGTGCTATCAATAATTGGTATTGCTAAAGCTGTGGGTTGAATTTGCAATAGTTGTGCAATAATGGAGCTATCAGGATGAGCGATAAAACACAACTTTTTTTGCCTTTCGCTTACATGTTTTTTGAAATGAGAATAGTTTTGACATATGTTTTTTATTTGCATTCTCTAGAGATTGTGGTGCAAACAAAACCCAATGCTAACACACAAAGCAAATAGAACTATAGGATGCTACCACATTTTGGAAGCTGAGAAAAATACATTTAGGTTACTGTAAGGTCTGTATGTTTATCATAAGATACTGTCAGCAAGCTAAAGTAGGTCACTCATTAAAAGTTCACAGACATCTACAGAGCATAGCATTGCCAGATCACATTATTATTTTAAATGACTACCTACAGCTTCCCTTTCCCTAACAACATTTTCTAGCTATTCCTGAGTGTTATGCTGTTTAGAGCACATGGTTTCTGACTGCCATGTTCATGATGGATGTTATATGTCATTAGGGGCTACAGAAAGTGCAACATTAGAAGGCAGAGTCTGTATGTGATTTAAAAAATGGCTTATTTTATACATATTGTGAGACACGGTGGACAGTGTATATTTGTTATATAAACATGGTGAGGGGCTCCAAGTTTGATGACTGATATAGACACAATAAGTGTATTGTTTAATAAGTCCTGTTCTGGGTCCTGATTCCCCGGAGGATTTGTAGAGTTTTTGGATTAAATAAAGCTTTCATTCCTAGTTCCACATCTTACCTGGTAGCCAAACCAGTTAGCTCAGCTGTTCAAAGGCCTTTATATATGCGAGATGAGTAATGATCAGGGCTCTCTCCTGCTTTCTCCGCTGGGTGAAAAGGCTGACTGCTGACAGAGCACTAAAAACATAGTACTGCCTGTTCATTTTGGGAAACCTACTAGGGGGGCACCATGTTAGTCAGGAACTAAATTGAGTTTAGTTAGTGGCTCAGTTAAGCAGATATTTTATGTTATGGACTTGCTGTACAAAGCAATTGAAAACTGTATTTGTTTACTGTTTTGCTCAATAAAAGTGCAGGACAACTTGGACTGTTCCTGGATGTCCTTGTCTCGTGCATGGTTTACTGCTATATATATATATATATATTATGAAAAAAAAAACAAGGTTTGTATGTTTTAGTACATTGACATTGATAAAACTGTTTACATTAAACTGATCGTTTTAAAATATATGACTTTAAGAAAACTACATATTTTCTTCAAATGCACATTTTATTTAAATGTGTATTCACTTCACTAGGAGACACTTTTGGTTATACATATACCTTGTTCTGGTTGTGTTTTTGTTGTCAAGTCATATGAGCATTGACAATAGGCTGAATTATGTTTTCATTGCTGAGATCTTGGTGCTGTAAGATCATGGCCTGAAGATTTTGGATCTTCTTCTGCTGATGAGGCAAGTAAACAATCCAATGTATTAGTAAGCAAAGGAGTAGGTTATGTTTAGGGAATGAGGCAAGAGATATTGCGTCCCTGTTGCTTACTCAAAACAAAAAACAAAACAAAAAGCATTTGAAGAAGAGTACTTACCTGTCTGATGGGCTGCAACTCCAGTCATTGACCTTTTGTAGCACTGGTATCTGAAACTTCCAAGAGTGTTGTGTGCCTGGCCTCCACTGCACCATGTGGTTCCCCGGATACACTAACGATGTAGGGACTGGATGGAACTGCAGCATGCAGTAGGAGACCAGGTATACAACACTCCTATAGATCTCTGAAGATTGGGGTCACCATCCACCTAATAGGGATGGATTATTTTTCTTAATTTACAGGGCACCACTTTTTTTTTTGTTAGCACGGATTCTCTTTAAGGGTTAGAGTTAAAGCATAATATATAGGTTACAGATAAGGTTAGGAGATATGGTATATATAAATTATGTTTATGTTTTTTATGTGTTAATGTTTAAGGATAAGGGTTCAGATGACAGTAAACTGCTAGGGTTAGGGTAGAGGTCAGAGATGGGGCCTTATTAAATGTTATCCTTCCCCGCCATGCAGAGAACTTTGGCTCCCTGTTATGAATTAACTTTCTGGCTCCAGTCACATTTGCCTGCTATAGTGTTAATTTCAGATATTGCTTTCCGTAAGGCAACTAACAGGGTTATTCACAAAAGGTGAAGAGTTTGGAGAAGGCAGGAGAAGTGAACAATCTAGGACAACATAGCTGATTTAGAAACATTCTCCAAATCAGCTCACTTTCCAGTTCAGCTGTGTTGTCCTAGATTATTCACTTCTCCTGCCTTCTCCAAACTCTTCACCCTTTTGTGAATAACCATGTCAATGTATTCTTCAATCTGATTCTCTTGTCTGCCTTCCTTTAAAAGCAAACACATAGAAGAACGGCTTGCGATAACATTTCTGTATGCAGACAGCAAGTTACATTGCAAGCCAACCACATTGGGGTCTATTCACAAAGCTGCCGAAGGATCTGGCCGTAGCTTCGGCCGATCCTTCGGCTAGCTTCGGCCCCAGGACCCCTTCGTTCAGGAGAACTGAGGGGGTGCTGTACGGGCTATTCACAATAGCCCGTACAGCTCCCGATCACGGCCGATCGCATATGCCTCGCATATGCTGAGCCGTGCTGAAAGCCGAAGCTGGCCGAGCGGCCGGCCAATGGCCGGCCGACAGCATGCTTCTGACAGCTGGGTGGAGCCAGCCGTGATCTTACGGCTGGCTCCGGCCATATCTTTCTTATGGTACAATGAAAAAGACCTGTCTAGAGTCATTATATCATTCAGAGTAAATGCACAGAGTCATTTTCTTCTTTTCATATATGACTTAGCCACGATCAGGCGTGGAACCTCATCTAAAGCATGCTGAACTGTTCTGCTTCCCTGAAAACATGACATTTATAGACTCTGCTAAAAGGAACCGAATCAGCCGTTGGAACTAGAAGCAGTCAAATCCAAGACTGAATAGAAGTTAAGTAACAGTTCCAAATAATTCCATACATTGAAGGGGATAAGACTGTATTTGAAGGTGCTTTCAGTTAATGTTTGCCTTAATTCCAACTGATAAATGAACAAAGGTTTGTGTAGTATATCTTATTTTTATTATAAATAGTAAATAAGCATTGGGGTCTAAACAACTACTGGATTTAATGTCAGATTTACCCCCCAGTAGCAGGCCTAAGGCCTTGTTCACACCAAGCGCGGAGCAGGTGCAGAGCAGAGCAGTTGCAGACCGGATCAAAACTGCGTCCAATGTGCTCCAGTTCACATCGCAGCGTGCAGGTCCAGAGCAGGTGAAAAAACTGCACCAAGCCCTATTTTACCTGCTCTGGATCTGCTCTGGAATGCATGCAAACGCATAAAAACGCATTAAAAATGCATGCAAATGCCTGGAACGCACTGAAAGCCCATGTTAAACTAAAAAAAATATATTTTTTTAACCAAAAATGGCCGGAACGCATCAAAAATGCGGCAAAAATGCTGCACAACCCACTGCACTGCGTGTGCAGAAACCTGAGCGGATCTGCTCTGCATTTGGTGTGAACAAGGTCTAAAGGTACAGAAGACCCAGTGCCTTAAACATTGCCCATCACCCCGTCACACTCAACACTATGCTGCTTTCCTCCATCCCTTTTCCACCTGTAAATTAAAATTAATAAGAGGAAGAAGGTATGAATAGCAAATTCCTACTCACATTTATCTTTAAAAATGTATAATTCTTATTATACTCAGTGGAAGCTATTTTGTATTCCATATCTAGTAATGAATCTGCAAAACCTGCTATTATTGTTGTTCTAGATTACCAAACATGTGTCGCTGTTAGTGGAAACCCCCTTAAAATATAACCATATTTGAACTAGAATTCCATCTTGCACAATCTGTTTCAGATAAAACAAAACAGCAGCTTTTACTGAAAATACTCACCTTCAATCTGGCAATATCCCTGCATAGCAAGTCTGGTCTATCCTGGTGCTGCCACCCAGGGTTGCACGACAGCCAGGATCATTCAAACCATTTCCTAGGAGCCTAGGCAGTCATGGAAACACCCCTAGGGGTGTGTGATCCCAATAGCCTGGGCTCACAGTACTCCTGGACTGCACATAATTATGTCGGCGGCACCATTTCTACCAGAGAAGCAGAAGGACCTTGGATGTCACTGGACCAGCCGAAAGCTGACTTTTGTTTGGTATTCATGTGGGGAGGGGAGAATATATTTACACAAGGTAG